TAGCTTCTGTACATTGTACATGTTCATCCGTTTTTCATTTATTCAACACATTTATTGAACACTTATGTTGAGACCTGGGACAGGCGCCACATAAGATTTATTTTTCTTTGTGTGGTTTCTGCACTCCAGAATCTTATAAATCCTTCCTACCTTACAAATCCTATCAACCAACCTATCTCTTTTTCTTCCTTTCTTCCCTCCTTCCCTTTTTCCTTCCACCACCCATTCATCCATCCAAGGCTTTATTCTAAGCATTCAGGATGCTGAAAGGACTGCTTCCAAGGCTTTAGGGTCAGGCAGACATTGGTCTGATTCCGTCACTAGTCAGACAGCCAGGTGACCCTAGAGGAGTTCCTTCACCTCTCAGAGCTGTTCCTCTTCTGCAAAGTGGGGATAATTATGACAACTACTTCACAGAACTCCAGGGAATGACATGACCTGCACATAAAGCACCTAGAACTGTGCCTGGCATGTACAGGGATGATGGCACGTACTAAGGACAGTATCTCCTTTAACTTGCAGCGCGATCATTTCACCGAGGAGGAAACTCAGGTAACAAGGAAGTAAAGCGGCTTGTCCAAGGTCTTAGGCAGTTGACTCCAGAGTTGGTACCCTGTAGTAACTTGGCCAGTGCTCCAGGAGTCAAGTCCGTCTGGAGTGGATTATGTGACCCCATTTGACAGGCAGGAATGGGATAAAGCATCTAAAGCACGTAGCACAGGGTGAGTGCTCAATTAATGATCATTTTAATGAAGTCAAGATTAGAACTGATTCCTGAGCTCCCTGCTTCGAACCTGCAAGTTGGGCCGCCCCCATTTTCCATGCACACACTTCACAGGGAGGCTCCAAGCAAGGACTCCACATCTTTACTATCTTTATCTCTACCTTTGCTCCAGGAAGAATGGGGACAGAAGGGCCACTTAGTTAATGGACATTAAAACTGGGGTTTGGGGGTGCCTGAGTGGCAGCTAAGCATCTGATTCTTGATTTCGGCTCAGGTCATGATTTCACAGTTTGTGAGTTTGAGCCCCACGTCAGGCTCTGCGTTGCCTTGCTTGGGATTCTTGCTCTCTCCCTCTCTCCCTGTTTCTCTCCTGCTTGTACTCTCTCTCACTCTCTCAAAATAAATAAATAAACAGCAACAACAACAACAAAAAACCCCTGGGGTTTTGTAGGGGTACCTGGCTGGCTCAGTCAGTAGGGTGTGTGGCCTTTGGTCTTGGGGTCATGAGTTTAAATCCCACATTGAGCACAGAGATTACTTAAAAAAATAAAAATATTTATAAACAACAACAACTGGAGTTTGGCATAGTATTTCTAATTAAAAAGCAGTGCAAGATCAGTGCAGAAACCTGGTAGGGAAGAGAAGACAGGGAAAAAATTAAAATTCTGTCATTTTAGCACCCACAGAGAAGTATTGTTGACATTTGGGAATTTGTCCTTTCAATATTTTTATGTAGCTCAACAGATTTTCAGTAAGTCTTGGATGCCCATGAAGTCTTGATGTGTTAGGAAAAAAAGGACTGTTCGCAGCGCCAACATGTCCAACAGCGCAAGTCTTGTACCCTAAGATGGCACTGTGCTTGTGCAGTCCACAACCTCTGCAGACAAACAAAACAGCTCCTGCTCTTAGCACGTACTTAACTCCATGGTCCTAACCTTTATCCCTCCCCAACACGTAAAAAGTGTCACACTCTTTCAGAGATAAATCTGGAAAGGAGAAGGAGGGATTTCCAGAAGTAATCTAGAAAAGGAAACCTGGGTCATCTCGCATGTAACGCCTCCCTTTCCGTGATTCATTAATCTGGTCTCAGAGGCTCCGAGAGAAGAAATTTACCCAGTTGTAGAGCTAGGAAGTGACCAGCGGCCAGGCAGAACTTGAACCCAGGGCAATCCCTAACTTAACCTAGTTCTACAAGAATGGAGGCAGAAAGATGTGGGTTCAGATTTCAGCCTTTCAGCCTAAGTAAAATCAGCTTTTCACTTTTGAGAAATCATTTAACTCCTCTCAGTTTCTTCACCTGTAAAATGAGGCAGCAGCTTCCTCATGAGGTTTACATGAGAATTAAATGAGAAAAAAAGGCTATCCTAACAATTACTGAGCGCTCTGGGCCAGGCATTGCAGAATGCACTTCACGTGCATTATCTCATTGAATCCTCACAATGACCCTATTTCACAGGTGAGGAAACTGAGGCTCAAAAAGCTCAAGTCATTTGCCCAACATCACGTGGTTGGGCTGGGATTTGAACCCAGATCTGTCAGTCTCAGAGCACTACTGTTAGCTAACATAGGTAACTCTTAGCACAGGGCTTCCAACATACAAACGTGAAATAAACAGCAGCCACCATTATTTGCTTACACTGTTGTGAAAATAATTACTATGTCACATGTGACTGGTTGGTCTCTGTTTTCAATCTTCTCAGCCAAGAAACCAAGAATTGGGCCAATCCATAGAGGAGGAGAGATGCCAGCCCAGCTTAGCCCTGGGGCATGCCCAGGCTACACAGGAGGAGGAAAGGGGTGTGGGCAAAGCTTGGGTAGTGTCTCTCTCAAACCTTGGCATCTGTGATTCGTTTAATGAAGGGCTAGAACAGCCCACACCTCACAACTGGGAGGCATAGCTCTGCTGAGGGGTCTGGTAACCTTGTAAACTGGCTCATGGTGCCCGCGCCTACCTACCCTAGACCATTAGTCTATGGTCTCCATTCCACCCAGGGTGCCTTCCCATGTTTGGAGACATAGGACCCCTCTGCCCCATGATCTGGGCCTCTGCTGATCTCTGCAGATGGGTGTGTGTGATTAAAGAGGCAAAATCCAGAAGTAGAGAGAGAGGACCCATTTTAAAAAGTCCAGCGAGCACAGACACGCCGCCCGGAATCCCAGCCTCCATCTGAGCCCAGCCAACATGAGTCACCTCCACAGCCCTTTACCTGTGAGTTGCAACACAGCTGACAGAAACTCCCAGCCTTCCAGGAGGCGGGCAGACCAGTGTGCCATCCCTTGGGCCGCAGTGAGCTTTGCAGTTACAGCTGGCACCAAATGGCTCTCCTGCCACCAATAACATCTGCAAAGTGGTTGGACACCGGCTCTGTTCTTGGATCAAATCCCAGCTCCAGCTCCACACTTCTAAGCTCTGCAGCTTGAGTAACTTACTCAGTCACTTGTACTTCAGTTTCCTCATCTCTAAAACAAGGACAATCAAAGCGCCCCTCTCACAGGGTCCCTATGAGGATTAAGTGAGACGATGCACGTAACGGCGGAGCACGACGTCTGATATGTGGTTATCTGAGCACCTACCGTCCGCCAGACCCGTAGTAGGCACTGGAGGTTCAAAAGCGAACAGGACAGACAAGGTCTTTACTCTAATGGAGTTCACATTCCAAAAAGGGGGGGGATGAACAATAAACAATCAGGAAAATATAAAAAAGCTGTAAGAGTTTTGCAGCGAGCCGAATAAAGTGGTGTGATATAGTGACTGAATGTGACTTTAACAAGGGCAGCTGGGAAGGCCTACTCTGAGCTGATGACTTTATTAGCAATTACTATTACTATTTACTGTTATTCGTCAGGGTCCCCTTGGCTGCCACCAACACAGCCTCCAGTGAGAAACCAACCTCTGACATTTCTCAAACCCAGTAACCTTTCTCCACAGTCCTGACCCCACCCCGAGAAGGCTCCTTCAGATTCTGACTTTACCCTGAAAACCTCCATCATATTGGCAGGAGGAGCTGAAACCGCACCCTTCCCTGAGAGAGAAAGGAGCGGGCCAAGGCGAGGCTCCCAGGAAGACAGAGCAAAGAGATAATTTGCTAAAAGGGAAGAGGGGGTGGGCAGAAAACAGAAAGAGAGAGGGAAAAAACAGATACCAAGATCTGTAGCTTAGATTTAATTTCAAATTAATCCTGGTGGAAGCTCTAAAAACAGCTCTAGCATTCTCCTAAGTGTGTCTGTGGATCTTTCGGGTTTACCAACCTTGTTCCTCACAGAGCCAGCTCATGGCAATTATTCCACAATTACTTAGTCTGAGGAGTATCTGATTTCTCCTGTGTTTTCAATGAGGAAGAAAGCGCTTATTAGGCTCTGTGAAATGACCAGCTAGCTAAGGCTTCAGAGGTGGTGGACTTCAACTTTTCCATCCCTTCTGTGCTGGCCAAAGGTATCTGGTTTGCTCATCTCTCATTCAGATCTGTATCACACCAAATAAAAGGCTGCTTCCCACCCTATCTCCACCCCCCACCACATGCACACACACTCCAGTTGTAGACTCCTCAAGAACAGTGACCCTGTCTTCTTGGCCTCCGTCTCCTCAGAACCCAGAGTAAGGCCTGGCACACAACAGGTGCTCAGTAAATCATCTGTTGAATTGCGGCCACTGACTTCAGCTCTAAGGGACAGCCAGACTTGGAGAGGACTGAAGATTCAGATCTGGGCTCTGACACTCAACTAGCTTTACCCCTGGGCAAGTCAATTTACCTCTCCCGCCTCCATTTCCTCACCTGTTAAGTGTGTTGGGAAGGAAGGGGGTGCAGTAGTAATATCAGCCACGGTGGGTTACTGTGAGAATCAAAAGAACTCACTTGAATAACTGTAAGATTATTCAAAAATAACATACTGTTATCTTAAGGGGAAAGCTCCGAAAAACAAAGGGAATTTACACACAGGACCCCCCCCCCCCCAATACGGTGGGGTTGGGGCGGGGAGATCGGCTCTCTGAGAATTCCCCAGTGACTGAAGTATTTGATGCTGGGTAGAGGAAGGGGCAAAGGAATTGAGGGGATGTTCCCAAGTATCCAGGATACTAACTAGAAACAGAAATCGACCTTTGGCCAAGTATCTGTCTCTGTACTTTTCCTCTATCTTCTCTCCAACATTTTTTTCCCCTCCCTCTCTCCTCCCTCTTCTCCACCTCCCACCCCCTCACCTAGGAAGGAATTGGCCAGCTCCACCCAGCCGGCCCCCCTTGGCTCCGCCCCCAACGCGGCAGGCCAAGAGTTAACAGCTGCACCTGTTGAGGCATACCTGCTGTCGCCGGCACCTGTACCCATAGCCAATCAGCACCAGCGCTGCCGGGAACCTACCTGTCAGCAAAATCCCGACACTCAAACCTCAACATAAATCAAACACTTCCCTGGGCAGGGAATGTCTGTGTCAGGCAAGAATTAGAGACAAGCGGTCAGCAGAGCCTCAGTGCTGGTGCCCGTCTTCATCTTTGAGCTTGGGAGCCTGGGAGCAAGACGATGTCGAATGAACTTGAGTGAGTAAACATTGGTGGATGCCTGGCGCTCTCTGAGCATGGAGGCTCCGTGGGGTTTCCAGAAGGGGGAAGCGCAGGGAGGCCGGCGCCAGGATTCACAGAGCAATTTGTAAGGGTAAATGAATGGGCTGACGATCTCGCTTTGACGTGTTGAGGCAAGCCCCATCTCAAGCTAGAGTTGAGTGTTTCCCTGGGAAAATAGGTTTTTTTCTCTCTCTCTCCATGCTGAGCAGTTTCGAGCCAGGTAGGGAAACACAGAGGACTGAAACCGCGAAGGCTGTCGGCACCACTTTCTAATACTCTTAAAGGGACTCAGAAATCAGCTCCAATCGCAACTAGGCTATCTTCTTGCCAAAAGGAACTTCTTTGAGGTAGTTCTAAGAGCAGTCTTAGGCGGAGAGCTGGATTTCTCTAAAGGGGCTTGTTTGTTGGGTTGGAACAGTCCCAAGTGGGAAGGTTACAGAGTGGTGTTTAAACATATGGGCTCTGTAGTCAGCCTGACCTAGGTTCAAATCCAGACTCTGCTCCTTATGGGGTATGTGATCTTGGACAAGTCATTCAACTCACCTGAGCCTCATTTACTTCATCCAGAAAATGGGCACAAGAATGTTTTGTAGGGTTCCCGACAGAGTTGTGTGTGATAAAAACTGTAAAATGCTAAGCACAGAGCTCGGGTCTGAAGATGCATTAACAAAATGTAGTTGATTTTATTCAGAGGCAGTTCTAAGTCTGAAGAAGCTGAGATGTGGTTTTCAGTGAGGTCATCTCCATTGCCTGGCAGGATGCAGCGCCTTCCTGCCCATATGAGTGAGATTTAGACTCCCCACTGGCTGATGCTGATCTTCACCATGGACCCCCTGCTTAGGGTCTAGACCTCAGAGAAGGTGGCTTGGAGCTGGGATTCTGGGCTGCTTTAGTTTGGGTTCAGGGAATTGGCAGATGCCAGGCTTCTAAACCACAGACTCTCCTTGCTATGCTCAGAGGTGAGTGGGCAGAGACAAGGGCGGAACCATCTTTTTTTCTAGCTACTCCTCAATAAATTGTTTTTAAGAACATGAGACCTGCGGGGGGCAACTGGTGGGTCCTAATTGCAGACAGTGTTCCATGACACCCGCTAGCTCTTGAGTTCTCCTGGATTAGCCAACTATGTCCATAGTACACTGACTGGGCATCAGATTTCACTTAACAAACTCCCTGGGGTTGACGATGTGTTGACAACTGGAATAAAAGCAGGGGCACTGGAGGCAACACCTGGGTTCAAATACCAGCTGTCGCTACTGAGCTGTGTGACCTTGCACAAGTCACTTCACCTACCTGAGTCTCTGTTTCCTCACTTGTAAATTGTGGGTGCCATAGTGGAGTTGTTGGGGGACCCAACTACTTTGGAAAAGTGATTGGTTTAAAGCCTGATAAGGAGCAAACTAACAATACCCTTGTTACTTCACAGAGAAATAACCGATGAGTATTTATGAGCCTCTTGCTTTTTATTTTTCCACACTCCTAAAACAAAAATCTTAGGTCTTGTAGATCTGCTGGTTAACACTGCAGAGGCTGGAGACAGAATCTGCTCATTAGTGCCCCTTTGGGGGGGGTGGGGGGAGCGGTTGGTAAGTGTCCTGAAGCTGGGATACTTGAACAGAAAGGTTTCCTGATTTTCTCCTTCTTAATGATTTGGGTTTGAAGTCTGATCAGCTGACAGTGGACACTTCTCTGATCCGATTGGGGGAGGGGGAGGGGAACCTGTGCCCGCAGAGTAATTGCAGACAGACTCGGAAGCCACCATCTGAGATTACAAGGACAGAGCCTCAGTGCCCTGGGGCTGGGCTACACTTACGGATGGGGGGGGGGGGGGGGGGATAAAGTGGGGGGGGGGCAACTTTTTTGTTGTTGTGGGGGGGGGGGGGGGGACCCCCCGGGTGGGGGCCGCCCACCCCCCCCCCCCCCCGCCTCCCCACCCCCCCAAAGTGCCGAGTTGGGAGGGCTGGTTCTAGCGTCCATCTTGAGCTCCGACAGTGTGATGAACTCTTGCCAGGCCTTGGTGTGGTGGGAAAAGCCGGGCTCGTGTAGGACTAAATGCTGCCACTTGGCAACCGCAGGATCCTGGTGAAATTTGTTTCTCCCCTCTGACCCTCTGTGTCCTCCTCGGTCCAACATGGGCTGTGCACACCCACCTGGCCGGGGAAACAATGCGCTCCGGCGTGCGGGCCACCCGGCTCGCGGCAGGCCTCGGGTGGAAGGCGGCACTTCGAAGGCCGGGTCCTGGGGTGCATGGCGGCGCGTAGTTAGAACCCCGCTCGAGGCGGCTTGCGGGTGGAGCACTCCAGCCTTTCATGTGGTCGGGCCCAGCGCCTGCCCGGTGCGTCTGCCTGCCTCGGGGCCAACGCAGGCCCCCTCGGGTGCCGCCAGTGGGCGCCGTCTGCTGCCCCCGAGCTAGAGCCGCCGCAAGGGATCCTGGGGCTGCGCGAGGCGCAGGAAGTCGCGGCCTGGCGCGCTCCTCTTGCGGGACGCAGTGGGCGCCTGCGCGCAGCCCGCCGTGGCTTTCTGAGGGGGCGGTCGGCTTACAGCCCCGGGTCTTCTCCCGGTTGCTGTGGGTCCTTCGGGCCCCTTTGGTGCTACAAGTAGAGTGCTGCCCCGGGGCCTAGTGTGTGCCTGGCGCACCTGCCCTGGCTCGCCCCGCCCAGGAGGAAATGAAGCGTTAGGAGACTAAGTGATCAGCACATAGTAGGTCTAATCGAGTGGAGGAGAGAGAGAGTGAAGTGAGCGAGGCGCACCAGGATTCCCTCCTCCAGCCTTGCACGGTCTTCGGACTGAGAGCCCACCTGCCGCCTAGAATTTTCTCCCTCCCGAAAGCCTTGGAGAGACGGGACTGCCCGTGGGAGGGGGACAGGGGACGTCCCAGTGGGTGACCGCAGGCCTCTGTCGCCGCTCCATCTGATCTCCAGGAGCGCCAGGCTCCAGACTGCCTGGAGCGCTGAAAGAGTTAACCAGGAACGCCTCCCCACTGCGGTTTTGTGGTCGAAACCATGATTGCCAGGAGCAAATTTTTGTCGTGCACAAGGTGTGTTATTAAAAGTCGGAGTTACGCTGCTGGTGAATGAAAAGTTAAGAGCCCTCATTAAGCTCGGCCTGTAAAACAGGCGGACTGAGGCTGAGACAACCCTAACGGCGGCGGCTCCGGGTGCGGGACGCTCCTGAGGCTCCTGCTACTGCACTGGCTGCCCAGGCACAGCGAGGGCCCGGGGTCAGGTGCCTGGAGCCAAAGGGGGCGTCGGGGGTCCACCCAGAGGAAGCCGAGCCGGAGGAAGGGCGGACAGGAGGAAGGGCCACAGGGCCGAAACAGAAATAACATACTGGAAGCTTTCCCTTTGGTGAAAACAAAAGCAACAGCCAAGCATTGACCCGAGGGCCGACTCCACAGCAGACACGGTGCCCGGTGCTTGGTAAATACATGATCTCCTTTAACTCTCCCAACAATCCAGTGAGGATGGGAGCGTAAGTGTAGTGTTGCTCAGGGACGGGTCTGAGGCTTGCCCCAGGCTTGCTCGAGATCTCCAGGAAGAGCTGGAATCTTCACCGGGTCTCAACCGAGGGGCTAGAAGGATGTTCCACACCAATGTGTCACCCTGCTTCCTATCTGCACAGATATTGAAAAAAGAGGAGGAGATACGCCAACCTGTTAATAGTGGTTATCTCTGAGTGGAGGAATGCAGGTGAATTCTAGTCTCTGCTTCCAATTTTCTCTGTGTTTTACATTTTGTATATTGCGGTTTTACATACCTATGTTACTTTTGAAATGGGGAAGGTGAGGAGAGAGAGCCATTATTTTGCAGAGAGAGGATTATTGGTTCACCTAAAACTGATGTTCTCCAAGTGTGGTTCCTGGACCAGCATCATCATCTTCACCACCTGGGAACTTGTTAGAAATGCAAATTCTCAGCCTCACCCTAGACCTACTGAATCAGAAATTCTGGGGGTGGGGTTCAGCAATGTGTTTTAACAGGCCCTCCAGGCGATTCTGATGCATGTTCAAGTTTAAGAACCATTGGCCTAGAAGACCTGGCAGAGGATTGGGAGACAAGAGGTTCCCAGATCCTCTTCTGACCTGCCACATAGTTGCTTGGTCAGCAAGCTCAGAGCTCGTTGCTATGGGGGTCACGCTTGTGTTTGAGCCCAGCTCTGCCATGTAGGGACCAGGTGACTTTTGGTTGAGCTCCTTAACCTTTCTAGGTGTCAGTGCTGTATGTGTAAATTAGTGATAATACGCCTCCCCCCCGCCCCCCAACAGGTCAAGTACAAGAATGAAAAGGCACGGGGCCTGATGCTTTTAAATAACAGTTCCTTTTCCTTCCCGTGTTGCCCTTCCCCTCTTGGGAGCTCAGCATTTGCAACATGGAGCAAATAATCCTGGCTTCCTTTCATCTTCTAAAAAATTCAGAACTGACCTAGTGGATGTCCTGAAGGGAAATTATCTCACCAATATTTGGTGTTATTTCACTGGTGGGTGGAGCACCCGGGCAGCAAGAATTGGAAACTTTTGAGGGCAGGGACAGCGTGGTGTTTACCTTTGTGTCCTAGTACCCAGCACAGGGCTCATTATAGGGTAACTCTCAGTGAATGTTTATTGGGTGAATCAGTGCGTGAATGAATGAAGGGATGTGGCACCCTGGGTTTAGAGGTGGATTTCAATTTCTTTCACATCTCAATTGAAAGAGGGAACAAGGGGTGTCTGGGTGGCTCAGTTGGTTGGGCGTCTGACTTGATTTTGGCTTAGGTCATGATCCCGGGGTAGTGGGATCGAGCCCTATGTTGGGCTCTGCACTGAGCTTGGAGCCTGCTTAAGATTCTCTCTCTCTCTCTCTCTCTCTCTCTCTCTCTGCCCCTTTTCCCTGCTCACACACTCATTCACTCACTCCCTAAAATTAAAAAAAAAAAAAAAGTGGGGGAGGGACACGAAAATTGGACAGGAAATGAGAAGGACATAGCACGAAAGAAAAATTCCC